AAAAAAAAAAAAAAAAAAAAAAAAAAAAAAAAAAACCAAAAAATTCCCCTCTGCGGCTGAACCATCGCAGCCACGAAACCTCGGTCGTCTTCCCTTTCTGCAGTGGATGAGCGCCCTAGGTATACTCGGCGCCAGTGGGTATTCGTAGCTCCGAAAAGCGCCCGGAACACAGTAGTTGTAGGGATTTGTGAATGAATACATCAAGTCAGCTAGCTTGAGTAAAATGCCCAACTCCTACAGCGCCCCAGTAAGCCGCCCAATACAGCCGAATCCTACCAGGCCGCGTCCCCGGCCCACGTGGTGCCAGCTCCGCCCCCCCGGGGGCGGGGCGCGGGAGTCCAGGTCCGCCAAGATCCCAACATGCCCCGGGCCGCAGGCTCTTCCGCACTCACAGTGACTTTTCACTTTCCGCTTTCCATACCTCGGTTTTGGTTCTCAACCAAACTATGCAAGTTTGTGACTGACGGGACGATTATCCAATAGAAAGCTGAACTGGTCAGGCAGAGACGGCCCACCAGCCAGTAGGGAGACTCGGCGAGCGCGTTGGCCCCGAGAAAGCCAGAGCCGGTTTGCAGGAATCGCAGTGGCGGTCGGAGTCCCAGCAGAGCGCAATCATGGTGAGAGTGGGGAGTGAGGTCTGGGTTGGAAATTGAAAGCATGGACGGGACGGAGAGGGCCTGGTGGCCGCAGGAGGAGCGTGGCAGGGCCGTGCGGATGAGTGCGGTTCCTGGGTGCCCACCGGGCCCATTTTAGGATTGGAGCTCCGGGCGTCCCGGCGTCCAGGCGCCTCGGGAGACCGGGGCGAAGGTTATGGCAGCACTTAGCTCCACCAACTGAGCCCCTTGATTTGTCTGTCTCCAGTCTATTATGTCCTATAACGGAGGGGCCGTCATGGCCATGAAGGGAAAAAATTGTGTGGCCATCGCTGCCGACAGGCGTTTCGGGATCCAGGCCCAGATGGTGACCACGGACTTCCAGAAGATCTTTCCCATGGGTGACAGACTCTACATAGGCCTGGCCGGACTGGCTACCGACGTCCAGACGGTGTAAGTCACCCAGGGCTCCACCTTCACCCTAGTATCTTCGTTGATCAAGTTGTCTTGAGCAGCCCGATGTGAGCCATCTGCTAAACACCATCATGTCTGGACACTATAGCCTTACAGAGATGTGTCCCAGGCAGGGGGTGTTGGCCCACGCCTTTAATCCCAGCAGAGGCAGAGGTAGGCAGATCTCTGTGAGTTCGAGGCCAGCATGGTCTAC